AATTTGAATCTAGGAAATAAGCACATTCATATTTTAGGGTCATAGGATTTTAGCTATAAGAGTTCCAAGGTAGACAGTTAGACAGAATCCAGCCCAACCCATTATTTTAAGATTTTTTTTGCTCGTGGCCAATACCACATCATGTATAATATTCATAAGCCAGACATAATTTTCTTACAGTAAATTCAGTTAGGCAGACTTGTCATCACAAATCCACTTTACAGGAAAGTTCATGTAGTTTATCTTCAACTCGTGGAATGCTAAGGTTGCTCTTGTGAATTTAAAATCCTCTTACGATACGAATGTTATCTCTATGGGAAGGCACTGGAAGTTTCTATACAACCTCTATATATTCTGCTTAAAATATCTCTACTGTTAAATACCTCCAAATAGTCCTAATAGTCCTAGTTTAAATTTGGAAGCGAATATAAAATAAACTTCAGATTTTACTCTTACTTAGGAGATGATAATAAATATTGTATTTACTATAATATATATTATATGCCTCAAATAATGCTGGCTCCCCATTAGGTATGCGGTTAACCACTATTAAAAATTCAAGGCTCGGCGCCTATAGCTCAACCGGCTAAGGCGCCAGCCACGTACACCTAAGGTGGCGGGTTCGAATCCCCAGCCCGGACCCGCCAAACAACAATGACGGCTGCAACCAAAAAATAGCCGGGCGTTGTGGCGGGCGCCTGTGGTCCCAGCTACTTGGGAGGCTGAGGCAGGAGACTCGCTTGAGCCCAGGAGTTAGAGGTTGCTGTGAGCTGTAATGCCACGGCACTCTACCCAGGGGGATAGCTTGAGGCTCTGTCTCAAAAAAAAAAAAAAAAAAAAAAAAATTCAAAACCACTATGCAAAATTCAAAAAAGAAATACAATAAAGAGTATTCTATTCCCTAAACATGTGTTAGGGATGATATGAAATATTATATGTGATATTTGATAATTATACATTTGTATGTTTACCTGTTATGTTATAATTTAAATTAGTATTTTATGTAATACATGAGGTTGGACAATTAAGTTCATGAACTCATCCCAGAAAAAGTGCTACATATCTCACTGCTGAATAGCATTACAAACACCTTTAAAGTCCTTCCCTTGGCCATCTGATGACAGTAGTGATATTCAGCAATGAGGTAGGTAGTACTTTTTCTAGGATGAGTTCATGAACTTAATTGTTAGACCTTGTATGCTGATATCTCTGATGGCCATTCCAAGCAAATGTAATTTCCAGACCGCGTATGATGATACTTCTGATAGACGTATCAGAAAAAGAGTTCCAAAATTGTTTTGAAGGGTGTACTAGGTGCTAGTGTCAGTGCACAGCTTCCCAAGGGGAGTACCTTGAAGGTGATTGCAGTGATATGCAACAGTGAGGTATGTAGCACTTTTCTAGGATGAATTCATGAACTTAACTGTCTGACCTTGTATACTTTAATATGTCATTACATATTACATTATGACTTGCATGTTATATCAATATATAAATAACATTAATATGTTGTATATTGGTATATATTTATATATTATTTATTAATATAGTATTTATAAGTGTTATATTTATGTAACACTATAAGATGTACCTTATTTCAAGATTAGAAGAAATACTCTTTATTATATTTCTTTTGTTGTTTCCATGGAGGATAATCACACCCCTAATGGGAGTCCAGAGTGGCTTGAGGCAGAAACATATTTAAATCTAGTTAGCACACACTGGTTTAAGTATGTGGGTTCAAAGCCCAGCTCCGTGTTAGAAGCCCTGTGACGTTGGGTAAATTATTTACTCCTATCTATAAAATTGGAACAATCATAATACTTAGTCATGACATTGTTATAAGGATTAAATGAAGTAATTCATTAAACAAATAATTACAGAGGGCCTGTTAGTATCAAGCATTGTTCGGCACTGGGAGAACAGTGAATAAATGCATTCACATTTAATAAACTTGGATTTTTTTTTATCTAAAAGCACTTACACAATAGGCTTGGGGATGTATATAGGATTTAAAGAAGTTTAAAGCAGCAGAAACAGGACTGAATTATTTATTGAGCCTCTGAGCCAAAGAAGTTGAAAAGTTGATGAACATATAATAGTATCCAGTTACAAGAGAGTATTGTCTCATCGAGGATCAGAAGCAAAATACACCTGTTGATTGATACAGCATGTGTGCTGAGCAATTTATGCAGCACATTTCCTATACACTAAAACTGGTGGTCAGTCATTCCAAAATTTCTTCCAGGACAACATCCATGAAAAATTAGAACAGTAAGGAAAGCAAGAATAAAAAATGAAAAACTAACTCGCGGCTGGTCATTAACATTGGTGACAAAATATTTTTAAAGACAAGGTTATTGTGGCAGGGCACATTGCCTTTTCCATGTAATCCTAGCGCTCTGGGAAGCCAAAGTGGGTGGACTGCCAGAGCTCATGAGTTCAAGACCAGCCTGAGCCAGAGCGAGACTTCATCTCTAAAAGTAGCTGGGGGTTGTGGTGGGTGCCTATATTCCCAGCTATTTGGGAGGCTGAGGCAAGTGGATCACTTAAACCCAAGAGTTTGAAGTTGCTGTGAGCTGTGACGCCCTATCACTCTACCAAGGGCAACAAAGTGAGACTCTGTAGGGTGCCGGCCCCATATACTGGAGGTGGCAGGTTCAAACCAGGCCCTAGCCAAAAACTGCAAAAAAATAAATAAAGACAAGGTTATTCATTATTTTCTAAGACTATTAAAAACCCCATCCATCTACTGGATGCTTTTGGCCCTCCCCGAGAGTTACAGTCACTGAAATAAATGTTTTAATCAGTTTAAAAATAAGTAATGATGGTAGTACAGAAGATAGAAGCCAGAATAATAAAATGTATCTTTCTGAAGCATCCATTTTCCCAGTTTTTCATATGGAAAACAACAAAGACTTATCATGGACCAAAATATAAAAATCCATTTGATTCACTCCTTGCTCTTGCCTCTTCAGAGCATATAGTAGGGACAGAGGCTCTGGCCTCTTTTTTTTTTTTTTTTTTTTTTTTTTTTGAGACAGAGCCTCAAGCTGTCCCCCTGGGTAGAGTGCCGTGGCATTACAGCTCACAGCAACCTCCAACTCCTGGGCTCAAGCGAGTCTCCTGCCTCCGCCTCGCAAGTAGCTGGGACCACAGGCGCCCGCCACAACACCGGGCCATTTTTTGGTTGCAGCCATCATTGTTGTTTGGCGGGTCCGGGCTGGGGATTCGAACCCGCCACCTTAGGTGTACGTGGCTGGCGCCTTAGCCAGTTGAGCTATAGGCGCCGAGCCGAGGCTCTGGCCTCTTTAGGAAACCTTTCTTTCTTTGAAGGGGGTGGGGTGGGGACAGAATGTCACTCTACACCTTGGGTAGAGTGTCCTGGCATCATCACAGCTCACAGCCAACCTCAAACGCTTGGGCTCAAGAGCTCTTCTTACTCAGCCTCCCCAGTAGCTGGGACCACAGGCAGGCACTTGCCAAAAGCCAGCCTAGTTCTTCTGTTTTTAGTAGAGATGGGGGGGTCTCCATCTTGCTCAGGCTGGTCTGGAACTCCTGAGGTCAAGTGATCCCCACCGGCCAGGAATCATTGCCTATCTTTTCACATTCTAGTCAGTTGACAAGGGGCTTGGAATCACTTTTATATATGGTTTTAATATTTGGCTTATTTCCTAACTTTTTATTGCTCTCTGGTATCTACTGAAGCTAGACAAAATTAAATTACCACATATCGTGAAAATAACAGCAACACAACATATTTCTAAGACACGGTGGCTGAGCTTTGAAATAACATTCATGACAATCCCGTGTTCTCTACCACAAAATCAGAGAGGAAGACATTCTATTACTGCAATATCACAGGGACTAAGAGAAGCCCTGTGAAGAGGAACTAACTGGAGTATGAAATTCCTCTCACCGTCAGCCTTGAACCAGCTTGAAGGAATCTGCTTAACCTCCAAAGCTTTATCAAATCTAAGTACCTCGGCTGTAAACCCAGTCATTCTCGCTTTCACGTATGTGCTTTCATACTTTTCACAGTACAGTCCTTATCACGTTGAGACTACCTTAAGCATTTGTTTGTTTGTTTGTTTTTTGAGACGGAGCCTCAAGCTGTCCCCCTGGGTAGAGTGCCCTGGCCTCACAGCTCACAGCAACCTCAACTCCTGGGCTCAAGCGAGTCTCCTGCCTCTGCCTCCCAAGTAGCTGGGACCACAGGCGCCTGCCACAACGCCCGGCCATTTTTTGGTTGCAGCTATCATTGTTGTTTGGCAGGCCTGGGCTAGATTCGAACCCGCCACCTTAGTGGTATGTGGCTGGCGCCTTAGCCACTTGAGCCACAGGTGCCGAGCCACCTTAAGCATTTGTTTCCCGCGTTTGTCTGTCTAAGCCTCCCTAAGAGGGTCACTTTTTACCTCCAGCATCTAGCCAAGCAAGCACCGTGCTATTAATATGGTAAGTGCTCAAAACATCCTTGCTGGATTTCTTTGTTAAGTGTCAGTGGAGACCACTTTTTATCACATACGAGAGAAATATTTAAGCCCACGATAGGGGAAAATAGGTATGTGACTTCAAAAGTGCAGGAACCTAGCTAACAGAGTGAACCTTCGTCCGCGTTCTCCGCATCCTTTTCTGCCTTTGATGCTGAAACGCCGGTGGGAGGGCAAAGGGCAGAAGGTCGGGATAGGGCATCCCCAGGGCCGCGGCTAACCACGCTAGGGCTTTAACTTCAGTTCCCCGCGATCGGCGCTCAGGGGAGGCGCAGCGCCGGGCCGCTAGCCCCGCACGTTGGACGTGCGGACGCCGCACGCCGGGTCCCCGCAGCACCGCTGGGGACTTGGGGGAAATCGCGCCTGGCTGGGTTCCGCTCCCCTCCTCCGGGGAGGAGCCCGCCCCCTGCCGGGCGGGGTGGGCACGGGACGCGCCTTTCGTACCTCCCGGGGAGACAACCCACCCGAGTCCCGGCCCAGGGCAGGGGTGGCACCCGGTCGCCTGCTCACCGCTGCGGAACCTGCTGCTGTCTCCGGCCTTGTTGAGGGTGCTGCTGGAGCAGCCCATCGCGGGGAGCGTAGCCACCTGTCCACGCGCCGCGCTGACGTTAGCCCGAGTCCTCAGAGAACCGCACTGGAGCCGCCTAAGTTTTTTCAACTCTGCAGCCCAGCTACTCCTGAGCACCGCGCAAGCGCACCGAGGATGGCGAGGTGAGGGGTGCGCACCTGGAGGGGCAGGAGAGCCAGGGAGGGAGGGCACGGCGGGAGAGCGAGAGGGCAAGGAGCAGAGGTGGGCCCGGGCCAGGGCAACTGTGGGCCCTGGGGGAGAGAAGACCAAGGGTAGGGTAAAGGCAGAGAGGCTGGGAAAGGGATGATGTCAGGGGGCTAGGGCGCAGTGCCGGGAGGTGTGCTCTGAATCAGCCGTCACTAAATAGCCGGGGAGGGGAGGAGGCGGCTGGGGGTAGTGGCTATTCATTGGTAGACTAATGTGTGATGACGGTCTTCTCTTACATAACCCTAATACAATGTTTTTCAACATTTTTAATCGCATGGCACTCTTGAACCTATAAACTTCCACGGCACACTTAAATTATGTTGATCCAAAAAAAAGACTAAAAAAAGGAATATACTTTTATTAACACAAACAAAATGCACCATCACGGCAAAAAAACAAAACAATTTATAATAATTTGTAATAAAAACATTTTTTAAAAACTTATTTACATTTATTCTTGTTTATTATAATTCAGCATTTAATAAACGAGCTTGACTTTTTTTTAGAATATCTTCTTTGCAGGGATGAATTTTGGACAGGCACACTCAATTAAGTCTTCTTCCAAAGATTCTGGCTGTCATTGATTTTTTGTTTTTAATATTATTCATTGCAGAAAAGCTCTCTTCACGCAGATATGACGTTAAGAATGGAAAATGTCTATTGCTTTTTTGGTAATGTTTGGAAATTCATCCTTGAGAGATAACCAAAAAGTTGTAATATCTGTTGTTGAATATTTTAATTGCAATCCTCTGTCATTTCTTGTTTCTGGTAATTCTTCCTCCTCTGTAATATTTAAATTTGCTGACGTACATGCGCTTAAGACAAAAATATTTCTCAGCCAATCCTGAGACGTTATGGCAAGTGTTGGTGCAGGAAAATATTTTTCAAAAATTCTGTACAGTGAATCTAAAAGTTTGTATTGTTCAGTAAGATTTTTACCCAGTTTACTCCTTTTCACTAGTTCAAACATTTCTACTACATTTTCTCTTTTAATCCTTTCCTGGCCAGGGCAGTAACTTTTCTCTGAAAGCATTAATTTTATCTGAAGATGTGAGAATATTTTCATGATTTCCCTACATACTCTTATTAAGAGTATTCAAACACTAAAATGAACCTGCAAGAAATCTAACTTTAGTACACCAACCCTCATCACAAAGTAAATTGCCTAATTTAGAATGTTGCATTCTTAAAATGTTGATTTTTTTTTTTGTGACAGTCTCACTTTGTCACCCTTGCTAGAGTGCCGTGGCATCACAGCTCACAGCAACCTCAAACTCTTGGTGAGCCTCTTGCCTCAGCCTCAAGTAGCTGAGACTACAGGTGTCCACCACAAAGCCCAGCTATTTTTAGAGATGGGGTCTTGCTCTTGCTCAGGCTGGTCTCGAACTCTGTCCTCCTCAGCTTCCCAGACTAAAAATTGATTCTTTTCATTCATAAAATCTTGATATAACTCTACCTGGAGATAACTATCTCATTTCCGTATGCAATAAGAGCTACACATGAGAAGCATCCACTGAGGAAAATAATTCTGCAAATAATCTTGATTGCAATGGCCTGTTTTTTATTTATTTATTTGAGACAGTCTTCACTTTGTTGCCCTGGGTAGAATGCTGTGGCATCATAGCTCACAGCAACCTCTAACTCCTGGGCTTAAGCAATTCTCTTGCCTCAGCCTCCCAAGCAGCTGGGACTACAGGCGCCCACAACTCCTCTATTTTTAGAGAAGAGGTTTTGTTCTGGCTCAAGCTGGTCTCAAACCTGTGAGCTCAGGCAATCGACCAGCCTCAGCCTCCCAAGTGCTGGGGTTACAGGCGTGAGCCACCACACCCAGCCCCAGGCAGGGTCTTTTCACTTGGATTTCTTGTCCATTTCTCTCCCTACCATATTTGTGAATGTACTTAATGCCCAGGGTGACTGATAAGAACATGAAGGCTGAGTTAAGACAAACTGAGTTCCAAATCACTCATGGATTGCTTCCTAATCTGGATGCTGAATAGTTGATGGTAATGAATATGATAGTTTTAAGTGTCTGACAGTAAGGAGATCAGCCAGTGTACTAAACCAATGAAAGTGAGATGAATGTGTTAGTATTTGTTCCAACAGGGAATGTGGCCTGTCACTTTAAGTTCTTGTATCAAAAAACCAGAAGCACAATGAATCCAGATGTCTGCCAAGTTCTCAGAAACTTGGAGCAGCAATGTTGGTGAAGGAAAAGCAAAGGACGGCCTTGTGTTAATTCTGTCCTTTCACATTTATCCGTTGGTATTCATTACATACTAGTATCTGAAATGCTACATACTAGTATCCAGAAAAAATAATGTCTGAATGGCAACGTCCTTTTTTCAAAGGTTTACATATCCTGACTTTTTAACATGATTTTCACTTACAAAAAGTTGAATAATACAATGATATATCCTCTGCCTAAATTCAACAATTAACATCCTGCACCACTTCCACCTTCCCAATCTACATATATTATTTAAACCACTGAAAATTAGTTGAAATTATGACACTTCTACCCCCAACACTTGTACATATATCTCATTAGGACACTCTCTATATGGCTTAAAGTCGCTATGTTAAGTATTAGTAATAGTAATCTTCTAACAAAGAGGTCAGCAAACTGTGGTCTGCAGGCTAAATGTGGCTGCTGCTTTAAAAGGTTTATTGGAGCACAGTCATACCTATTCATTTACATATTGTCTGTCGCTGCTTTTGTGCTACAACAGCAGAGGTGAATAGCTGCCATAGAGACAATGTGGCCCGTAAGGCCTGAAGTATTTCCTGTTTGGCCCCTTAAAGTTTACCAACCACTAGTCTAATAAATACATGTGTGGAGATAGTAACAAAACCTTCATTAGCCAAAGGATTTGGATGTCATTTTCCCATAGCCAGTGTGCATGTCTCAGGTAAAGACATTTTTGTTTTTTCAGACAGGGTCTCTCTGTCACTTGGGCATCACCATAGCTCACTGCAACCTCAAACTTCTGGGCTCAAGCAGTCTCCTGCCTCAGCCTTTGGAGCAACTGACACTACAGGTACATGCCAACATGCCTGGCTAATTTTTCTGTTTTTTTTTTTTTTTTTTATAAAGATGGGGTCTTGATGTTGCTCTTGCTCATGCTGATCTGGAACTCCTGGCCTCAAGGGATCCTCCTGCCTTGGCCTCCCAAAGTGCTAGGATTATAGGCATGAGCCACCACGTCCAGCCATATAAAGAACTGTTTCTTCCTCTAGTGTGTGGGTTTTATGCTGCTGTAACTGTGTAAGATAGCTGGGTGGCTATGCTAGGGAGATAAAAATGGAACCACAAAGCATCTACTAACATCCACTGCATACTTACCTTGTATAGGGCCCTGTGATAGGTGCTATGATGCAACACTTCTATGAGGTAGGCATCTTTATTTTATCCAGTTTTATTGATGAGGATACAGGGGGTTAGATTAGAAAATATGCTGGCTCGGCGCCTGTGGCTCAAGTGGCTAAGGCACCAGCCACGTACACCTGAGCTGGTGGGTTTAAATCCAGCCCAGGCCCGCCAAACAACAATGACGGCTGCAACCAAAAAAAAAAAAAATAAAATAGCCGGGCATTGTGGCGGGCGCCTGTAGTCCCAACTACTTGGGAGGTGGAGGCAGGAGACTCGCTTGAGACCAGGAGTTGGAGGTTGCTGTGAGCTGTGATGCCATGGTACTCCACTTAGGGTGACAGCTTGAGGCTCTGTGTCAAAAAAAAAAAAAAAAAGAAAGAAAATGTGCTCAAGTCATGTAGAAATTACAGAGAAAAACCTAGGACCTAAGTCTCTCTCCAAAGAGAGATTCAGTTAAGATTCCCCAGGAGGAATTCTCAAAACATTTTTAGTCACAACTCACACACAAAGGAACACTTTGGGTTTCTCTGGGCTTCCAGTACAAAACCACAGTAAGATCCTTGGGAGAAAGCAACTAAGTCTTATCTTTAAAACATAGTGCCTTTCTTTGTGCTGCTTTAACAGAATACCTGAAACTGGTTAATTTATAAACAGAAATTTATTGGCTCATAGTGGGAAGTGCAAGAGGCCTGCAGGTTTGGTAATTCTGATTCAAAGATGGTGCCTGGAACACTGTGTCTCTTATCTTATTATGGCAGAAGACAGAAAAACAAAGAGATAGCAAACCCACTTTTTCAAGCCCTTTATTAAGGGCATTAATCCACTCCTGAGTGCTGTGCTATGCCCTCACAAGTTAATTATGTCTTCAAGCCCTAAGCTACCAACACTCTCACACTGGGGATTTTGTTTCACCCTATACATTTTGAAGGGGACACAAAAATTCAAACCATAGCACATGGTGGGAACAGGATACTTGGTACCCTATAATGAAAAGCACTTAAGAAAAGTTACCGCAAACCCTTTAATCATTTATTCTGTAAAATGGGGGTAAAACCTATCCTGGTTACTTTGGAGAAAACAGAATATTAAAAAGCTTTGAAAGTGAAGCACTCAATATAAAATTATATAGTTTAGTTTGCATCTTTAAGCAAGTATGCCTCAGAACCAATTTGGCTATCTCATTCTTTAGGTCTTTATTTCTCAAATTTTTAAGAATCACTTAAGAAAGGGGTCCTCAAACATTTTAAACAGGGGGCCAGTTCACTGTCCCTCAGACCGTTGGAGGGCCAGACTGCGGGCCCCGTGACAAGTCAGCTGCTAAGCAGGACAGGCAGCGGTGGTAAAAACACCCAGTGGGCCGGATAAATGTCCTAGGCAGGCTGCATGCGGCCCGAGGGCCTTAGTTTGAGGACACCTGACTTAAGATGCCTGTTAACTCAGATTCCCAAGCCCTATACTCAGAGATTTTCTTCCATAGGCCTGTGTGGGATGCAGGAGTCAGAACTCCAGCTGATTCTGATGCAGACAATCTGGGAGCCTAACCTTTAAGAAATACTGCTTTTGAGATAGAAGTGATGTTTCATGAAACAGCTATTAAAAAGGAACACTTTATTATTAAAAAGGAACTTTAAAAAAAAGTCTCACTCTGTTGTGCCGCCTAGAGTACAACAGCCTCAGCATAGCTCACAGCAACCTCCAACTCCTGGACTCAAGTGATCCTCCTATCTCAGCCTCCCAAGTAGCCAGGACTACAGGCACAAGCCACCACACCCGGCTAATTTTTTTCTGTTTTTAGTACAGACAGGGTCTTGCTTAGCTTAGGCTGGTCTCAAACTCCTGATCAAGGAAGCATTCCTCCTTCCTTGGCCTCCCAGAGTGCTAGGATTCCAGCTGTGAGCCACTGTGCCCAGCCCAAAAAGGGACTTTTTATGTACCAATAACTAATGGATGCTGTAAAATAATTCAAACAGTACTAAAAAATACAAAGTAAAAAGACAAGGTTCACTCCTCACCACCCACTCTTCTCGCTTTTGGATACATTTTGATGATGAGCTATCTGGACATCTTCTATGCCCACACAACCATATACAATCATGCAACAATTAACAGTGGGGATGCATGCTGAGAAATACATGATTTGGCAATTTCCTCATTGTCTGAACATCACCTAGATGTACTATACTGCATGTACTATACTGGATATTGTAGGCAACTGTAACATTATGGTAAATTATTTGTGTATCTGAATGTAAAAAAATAAAAGTGACAAAAATGTTAGAAATCTTTGGTAAGGATTATTACTTGGTCTTTTTTTTTTTTTTTTTTTTGGCTGGGGCTGGGTTTGAACCCTCCACCTCCGGCATAGGGGGCCAGCGCCCTACTCCTTTGAGCCACAGGCACAGCCCAACCTAGTCTTATTAAAGATTTCATTATAGACGCTACTGGTCTCACCAACACTATTTTCATAGTTTGAAAATATTTTTATCTGGTTGGTCAGTTTCTTCCACAAGTGAACTTTTCATACTACATACGTTACTTTTTCCTCCAAGTTGACTAGCTCTAATTTAATTTCTGAAGTGGTTGGTGACTTGAAGAATACATTATTACAGAAGACAGTGTACCATTTCTTTTTCTAATTATTATGGGTACATAACAGTTGTACATCTTTATAGGATACATGTGAACTTTTGATATAGGCATACAATGTGAATTAATCAAATCAGGATAAACTGGGGCATCCATTACCTCAGGCATTTAACATTTCTGTGGTTAGGAACATTCCAAGTATACCACTATTTGTTCATTATAGTCACTTTGTTGTGCTATCAACTACTGTAACCATGAGTTAAGGTCTGTAAAAAGTACATTATAGTCTATACGAAAACTAATTACTCTTGGTATTAATTTCCCTTAAGGATTAGCTAGACAGTAAGCTAAGAATAGGCAACATAGGCTCAGCGTCCATAGCTCAGTGGTTAGGGTGCCAGCCACATATACCAGGGGTGGTGGGTTCAAACCCGGCCTGGGCCTCCTAAACAAACAGGCAAGAATGACAACACACCACCACCAACAAGAACAAAAAATAGCCGGGTGCTATGGCAGGCGCCTGTAGTCCCAGCTACTTGGAAGGTTGAGGCAAGAGAATCACTTGAGCCCAAGAGCTTGAGGTTGCTGTGAGCT